AAATCTTAGTTACTATAATTATGTTTGGCTGTGTACTATATGAAGTCATAGTCATAATAAGTTTAGTCATATTTTTGTTCAAGAATTTTATTCATGTAAAATTATAAGAAAATTCTTCTTTTTATGAAGTGTGTCTATAAGGAGGCACATCATAGAACCATGTCTTTTCCTTTAACATAAGTTGAATCTTTTTCTTTAAACTTGGCAATTTTTAGTTAGATGAATTATAACGATTTTATAAGATTCATTGATTTGTATATCCTGATAGTAATTCTTAGGAATTTGAAAGCAACAATGAACAATTTGAGTATGATAATGAGTCATTGTGTAATTCTTTCTCTTCCATTTTACAAAAATTAAACGGTCATGTGGAATCAACTTTATATATGACGGATTGCCATAAAATATATTTAGTTGTATATTACATAATTGACAACAGGTGAGGTCTTACAACTTCCTAAACATGTAATTATTTTGTTTATTTTCCAATCTGGATGGGAAATGGTATGAGCAATGATAAGTATACACCTTTAAAGAGTGACTTTTTCTACTAATATTATGAAAATGTAATACTCCTTACATATTATTATTGGGTGTTTGATAATGTGAAAATTTTGATTTTTAAAGCTATACTATCAATTAATGTTTTCGCTTATTGATGTTTACAAAAGTTTGATCAATAACATTTTTGTCGTTTCTCGATTGCATGGATCCTTTGTAATTATATTCTATAAACATAAACACGGAACAAAATATTTATATATCTAATGACAAGTATTTTGTTAGTACGAAGTGATCCCAACTTTGTCGAACTTTGTTCTATGAAAAATCCATCCAAAATTTAATTTATTAATAGATGTAAATCTGAATTGTTGGTCAAACTATTCGTTAGATTCTCACGGTCATCTAATGACATACTTAAACATATGACATATGCATCCCGTGCAACGCACGGGTAAAGAATCTAGTTTGAAATATAAGAAATTGTTCAAAACAAGGGCAAATCACTGTAAAAGTTATAAAATAGTACACGTTTTGAATTCTCAAAATACTAGTTCGAATTACTTTTTAACCGTTCAGGTTTAGAGTTAAGGTTGGAGTTTATGGCTTAGGCCGGGATTACCAATCATACTAGGGCATATGATTAGCCCTTTTAGGGGTTACCAATCTCACTTAGGGCTTTAACATCGCTACTTGGTAGAGCCGTGGGAAAGGTGGATGTGTGGCGGTGGCTGTCCTTCAGGTTCACTAAAAGTGTACTTTTTTCCGGTCACAACCTTCTACTTCTATTTTGGGAAAAGGTGCAAATAAGCCAATGTACTAACCAAAAAAGGTCAAATAAGCCCTTATTTAGGAGGCTCTGTTTGGCCGTCGCCATTTGGAGTGGTTCCCGGTGGAATTTTTTGATGAAATATTTTGAGCATCTTATTCATTAAGTTTAGTTTACTTATACAAAATTTCAGCTAAAACTTCAATTGGGAAGGCATTCAAATGAATTCTTGAAAATAACTGCGCAGTTAGAAGCGCAATTATCTTCAAGAATTCATTTGAATGCCTTCCCGATTGAAGTTTTAACTGAAATTTGGTATGAGCAAACTAGACTTGATGAATAAGATGCTCAAAAAATTTCATCCAAACATTCCACCGGGAACCACCCCAAATGACGACGGCCGGACAAAACTTCCTAAATAAGGGCTTATTTGACCTTTTTTGGTTAGTACATGGGCGTATTTGCACCTTTTCCCTTCTATTTTTTTATGCTTTTACCTTATTTTACTCTTCATTTGGGAATTCTCTTTTGAAATATTTGGGTGTCTGAAAAATGGCGGCCGTAGGAGATGTCAAGAGGGGTGATCACCCCAAGCCCCAAAACTAGATTATTTAGACTCAATAATTGTTCTTTATATATGTTGTGAGTGTGATTCTATTTCCTCGTTTAGGCCCATGTCCTTATACTTTATACTTCTTATATATTTTTGAGATCAACATGTGAGTACAAATTTCATTTATACCATTAAAAGTTACTTCAAGATTTCAAACCGATATAGTCCCAACATGTCAATGGTGCATAATTGTAGGTATTTATTTTTCATTTTAATTTTTCTGCAGCTTTAGACATTCATTTTCCCACTAAGTTTTGTTGTGTCATCCTATGTTGTGTGATTTATCTATTTTCTTGCATGTGAGATTGTGTGCATTTTATTGATTTGTTAAATTGTTATTCTTATACAGTTATATATTCATTTTATTATTTTTAAAATATTATTATATCGAAGGTGTGTATCTACATGCTGCAAGGGACTCTAAGTCCTTGGGGGCCTCCACCTTCACTATCCCTTCCGTAAAGGGTGACATTACCTTTTCGGGCGCATCCTCTATCTTCATTCCCTCGACCTGTTTTTGCATCTCAACAAGATTATTATTCGAATCGGAAATGTTACAGTTGGCTTGTTTGTCCGATGAGTCTTTTCCCTGGAGGTAGTTTGCAAATCAGGACTCTTGTCCTTAGTTTTCGAGGATACCACGTACATTATCCGGCTTCCCGGGAGAGGCCTTGGACCGCGATGATGAGGGTTTGGTGTAGCTAAGCTACCGCGGTGCAGGAGGGTTCCTTCAAGTCTCTTGACTTATGGATGTGTACATTTCAATGTGTCTCAAGACTCAAGTTATATTCTATTAACGTGATTTACATTTCGACTTGCCTCAAGTTACATTTTCATTAACGTGACTTACATTTCAACTTCGCCCAAGTTACATTTCCATTAACGCGATATGATTTATATTTCGATTTGCTTCAAGTTACATTTTGCACACACACATTTTATATTTCGACTTGCCTCGAGTTACATTCTGCATACACGTGATTTACATTTCGACTTGTCTCAAGTTATATTTTGCATACACATGATTTATATTTCATACATGAGTAACATTTGTCGCTACATGAGATTACATTTGTAGTAATGTGAGTCACATTTCAGTGCACGAGATTTATTACATTAGAAAAATATTGAAACAAAAACATATTCACTATTCACTTCTTTTTTAATTACTACTTAAGTTTAAATGATGTCGTTTTAACTGTGGAAGTATGATGCTCATCATGAGTCGCTCCCAAAACATAGAGGCTGAATCTTTTGGTATCCCAAAATAATCCGCTATCATCAACATATACCATAAACATCGTAAATACTGCAAATATTAATTGCACTGATTATTTTAGCACAATTAATTAATGTTTGTAAATGGAGCGGAAGGACCTAAACACATGTCTAGGGTAAGCATGGGAGCAAGGGCGGCCCTGGGGGGGTGCAAGGGGGGCGGTCCCCCTAGGCCCAAAAAAATAGCTAAAAACTAGGCCCAAGTTTAGTTCTTTGCGATATGTGTGAGTAGGCTGATTTTTTAGCTCTACACTAACAATTTTTTGGGTGGAATTTGTTGAAGTTTTTCGGAATGGATTTTTTTGGTGAAAACTTATGATCATGTTCTCTATGAAGTGCAGATTATGTATAAAAGAATTGTTCAAAAATTCATTTAGAAGTCAATTAAATAAATTATTGAAAAACACTGAGTTTGTACGTATAAATATTTTGGTGCTTTGTTTTTCAGTAATTTATTTAACTCACTTCACGATTGCATTTTAAGCTGAAATTTTATGGGCATACTTAACACTTGATGAAAAACATTCTCTTAAATTTTCATAAAAAATTTCACTAGAAAGCAGATTAGTCTGATGTGATCATTTGATTAGTTTATTAACCAATTTCATTCGTAGTTGATTATTTAATTTTCTAATTGTTGATTGTTTTCTATTGAGTGTTGATGTTATAACTTGTTGATTTGTTTGACAAACATTTTCAATTATGAGAAAATTTATAAATTTAATTAAATTCAAGGTGTAGTAAACAAGATTGAATCTAAATAGGATAAATAATAAAAAAGGACAAAATTAGTAGCCAAGTAAAAATGGAAAAGTTTACTTGTGTAAATATATTAAATTCTGAATGTCCCCTTCAAGATGAGAACTCATAAAAGAACAATAATTTAGCTACTAAAAATAAAATGATTAGAATGATTACATCATTCAGGGCTTCCATGGATTCCCATGTTTGATTTATGATGGTTTCTCACTGCTTTGATGTAGTAAACAATGCTTAAAACTTAAATTTGTCCTTGGATTTGAGATTGGAAGAGAGATTTGTGTCCAGAATCAAGAAAACAAAGGCTGGAATCGCGAAAACACTGTTCATGGCTATCCTAGGTTTTTGAGAGAACGATGGTTTGTTACTGTCTATTTCTCTTGCGGTCCGAATTTGAAATCACTTGCTAAACCTCAATCCGTGCTTGGTTTTGAGTCTGGTAGGCTGATTTTTGCCCAGAACTCAGAAAAATTGTTAGCGATAATACTGTTCATAATCGTCGCGAACTGCAATTCAAGTGAGATATGGCTTAAATTGTAATCCCAGCTTGTTTTTCTGAAGCCCTGGTGCAATTCAAGTGAGATATGGCTTCTCCTCCATGTGCATGACCTGGGGATTTTAGCAAGTGCATTACTGTGAACATTATGGCAAGAAAGAAACTAGTTGAGGTGAACTCCTCCTCACAGCGTATTACCAGGTCCAGGTTTGATGTACTGGCAGTTTTGGAGGATGAGTTCCCTCCCCTCAATACTGGAAAGGTTGGGGGATGTTTCTAAGGCTTCTGGGACTGGAACTAGCAATGATTTGGGGCCTGCCCAGCCTTCTGGGAAACAGGTGAAACAAACTACAGGGACTGCCATCTCACTTCAAATACCTTCTGAAACTGCTGCAGTGCAACCTGATGCTATTGGGAGTGAAAAACTTCCAAACAAAACTACTGTTTCTGATAAACAGACTCCTAAAGTCCATAAAGAGGCTGAAATGGTTAACAAACCATGGAATGTCCTCTTTGAGGATAACCGTGCACCTTCCCATGGGATTAAACTGAGATATATCCCTCCAAAAGGCAATGTTTTGGACCTTTCTGATAGGGTTATGCCTACAATGGTGGAGATGTGGGGACACTGTTCAGTTGGGTTCTTCACAGGTCGGTTTCCTGGGCTTAAAGCTGTCCATGAGCTAAAAGAAAAATGGGGGGTATAATGCTTGGTTAGGTCCCATGATAAGGGGTGGATTTTCTTTAAATTTGAAAACGAAGCTGACAGATTGAAAGTGCTAAATGAGGGACCATACTCGATATTTGGGAAATTATTGATGTTGAAGATGTTGTCGGAGGATTTCTCATTTGAGGATGAGGAGTTCCTCAAAGTGCCGGTTTGGGTTAAATTCCCAAATCTACCAATGAATTTATGGAATGAAGGGGCTATGAGTGAGGTAGCTTCTATGATTGGGGTTCCATTATCTACGGACAAGGTCACCCAAGAAAGAACCAACCACAATTACGCTAGAGTACTCATTGAAGTTGATGTGTCAAAGCCACCCCCATTGTCATTTCCTATACGATTACCTTCACATAAGGTAATTAAACAATGGGTGAGATATGAGACATTTCTGAACTATTGCTTTCACTGCAAAGAATATGGGCACCACCCATTTATTTGCAAAAAGCTGGCTGAAAAAGAGAGGAAAGAAAAGAATAATAAGGAAAAGAATGATACTGGTGTTGATAAAAAGGATGAACCGAAAATGTTACAAGGTGAGGAAGTGGGTGTGAAGGAAATGGAGGCTCATGTGGAGAGCATTGTTATTGTGCCGGAGCCTACTGTTACGGTTGAGGAGAAGTTGATTATGCCGGAGTCTACCGTGCCAGAAGCGTCTGGAAGTGAGAGCTCAGGATATGGATCGTATGAGACGGACAATGGATCGGAGGAGGAGGACTTGGGCCAGACAGGTAACGCGGACTTCGATGAAGTTTATATGAACAGTAAGGTTTTTATGATTAAGAAAGATGCTAATGTGAACAGAAATAGAATGATAAGGAGAATTTCAGGTTTAAGTTGGGAGGAAACATTTGCTAAAAAGAAGATTGCTCTTCCAGATCTTTTTAAGGGTAGGACAAATGAGAAGAAAAATAAAAAAGGACGGACGGGAAGAAAATAATATGTGATCTGCAGGAGTTCATACGCACAAGGGAGTACTTATTTCACTGCAGTATTTCGGGTCAAGGTGTTGATTCTGAGCCAGGATGCTAGGATGCGTATTTAATTGGGATGGAAATATGCTGTTCACGTTGATCGCTGGGATGATTGTGGTTACTCCAAGTTGCCGCTAATGCTTTCTTTCTATGCTAGGAAGCCTAGGATGCTTCGTCTGGAAGCAATTTTTGCTGTTGTAATTCGTCACTACATAGTTTCTGATTTCGCTGGGATGCCGCTCTATTATTTAGTTAATTAATGATTTCTGATGTGGGGTTGTCCCATTATCTGATTTACTTGATGCATTGTAAAGTGCTATTTTTTGGGTGCTATATATATACTTACATTTCATCTAAAAAAAATATATAGATAGATAAAAAGAAGAATTAATACTCAAATAAGAAGATTAAAGAAAATAACTCACAACGTACAATTCATTAAGATTCAAAGTAGCAAAACCAAGTTGGAAAAGTTTAGCTCCTCATTTGGAGACTAAACATGATAAAAAATATATAAAGAAAACACTAATCTAAACTGAGCTTAAGAGTATATGTGAATTGATGATTTTATTAGGAAGGAAAGGAGTGTATTTATAGGCTTTTGGGAGCTGCAGGATCTGATACCCGACCGGGTATATAGGATACCCAACCGGGTATCTTAGGAAATTGGCCAGATAGTCACTTTTCTGGGCATACCCGATCGGGTATGTTGGCATACCTGATCGGGTATGTGACAAATCTTCACGAAAATTCGCTCCCACGATCATTTGTTCTTGGATTTGATTTGGACAATCGAATCAATCAAATACCCGATCGGGTATAGGCAATACCCGACTGGGTACATGAATATTTTTTCCAAATCGAAATCTTTCTTGCCTCCTTGCACTTTCCTTGATCTTTTAGGCCCAATCTTGATCCCTTGGATGATCTTTAACCTGTTTAGCTCAGAATAATCCTAATCTAAACAGATTACAAATAAAAAATGAAAATAAAGTATTACACCAAAGGTGTGTAATTCCCACAACTAGAACTAATAAAAACTAGTTAAAAATACAAACATACAATCGGAAATTACACGAATATCAACAAGCAGGTTGGGGGAGGTGATCAATGGCGCACACAAGCATCTCAACAAGCAATAACATGACTCACGAACACATGGATTTGGTCTAGGGTTTTGGCTGTGGCGATTTCCGTTCACATGATTTTGGCGTTTGATCATGAATGACTTTGTCTTTGCTGCTTCCCCAAACAGCAGCCATTGAGATGATTAAGAGGCAAGGTGAGCATGATGATCTAGTTCAGGCCTACGATCAGTTGCTCTTGGAGGGAGAAAGTGAAGTCCTATGGGGTCGCCCGCTTCTGAACCGCCATCATGGAATGAACGAGCGATTAAGATTTAATTGAAATTTTGTTTTAGTTATTCTTGTATGTTTTAATTTTTTTTGTTTTCATTCAGTATTTGCTTTTATTTTTCCCATCGAGGCTGGTGAAGAGAATATAGTTTTTTTGGGAAAATGGAAATTAATAATCCAACCTTTTAGCGTTCTTCTTTTAATAGTCGGACCTTTTCGTTATTTATGAATAATCCAACCTTTGAATAATCCCTAGTTTTTTGGTATGAGTTTATGATTACTAGAATGAGAGGAAGTAATCAGGTTAATCTGGTCGATAATCGCTTCGGATCTCTCGCATGTTCAATGATTTTTTGTTGTTGGACTTTCTAGTCTTTTATAGTATCCGTTCAAAGTTAAATGTCAACATTCTTGATTGGGATGCGTTTAGAACCTGTGAACTCCTCCTTGAGAATGTAACAATGATGCCATCGAATCACAAATCACAAAATGTTTGACATTCTATGATTTTAATACTACCTCCGTTCTTAAATAAATGCAACACTTTGACTTTTACACTATTCACATGTTCTACTTTAACTACGTTTTATTTATTAATGTAATAATATTATTTTATGAAAAAAATATTGTTAAACTTGTCTCATTGTAAATTTTCATAATCTAATTTTTTTAATTTTTTTACTAATACAAAATCATTTATATGAATGGTCAAAGTTGTGTCTCGACAAGTGTGAAATGTTGACCGTTGCATTTATTTAAGAACGGAGGAAGTATAAGCTTTATGCTAAAAAAAATCAATATTTGTAAATGCAATTGGTGCATGGTTTTTGCGCCCCTAATTTATATGCAGACATGGGCTTGTAACGAATGGTTTAAGTTATATACGGAGTACACCACACGGATTGGGCTTAGCATGCACCTGCTTCAGTCCTACATCCTCAAAGCCCGGAATAGTTCCTGCCCTATTCACCGTCCGATCTAGGGCGTACACGATTTGCCTCAATATATGTTCCCTGGCCATGTACATCTTCCTTCTTCAGTTGCTTCAGCCCCAAAACCAGCTAATCGAGAGCTACCCACATTGTGAAAATGGTGCAGCGGCTGGTCTATCGGTCAAGGCATAGCTATGCCACTAAATCTAATCAGAATCGGGTCGTCAAAACCCCTGGTACTAATTCCTTCGTTCAGCAATCATTTTATTGATTAACTTTCTTCCCAATTTTTCTGTCTATTTTTTGTGTTTGTATGTATTTTTCCATAGTATAATCTGAATATGGTCATATTTATGTAATGCAAATGAGTTCATGGTTTGTGGGTGCTGAAAACATCGTATGATCAGGTGGGAAGCTTGTGTACCAGAACACAAAGAAGAGGGCCAGTGGTCCTAAGTGCCCAGTAACCGGAAAGAGAATCCAAGGGGTATGTATTTTTCTACTCCTTTTGTTGGTATGCTTATTTATCAATTTAATTACTCTCCTTTAGCTGTTCATTTGGTAAGATTAGAACTAGAAGATCAATAAATTATCTGTTTCCTGGAAATTTACTCTGAGAAAATCACTAGGAAAGTAATTTAGATTTGAGTAGAAAAAAGTTTGGAATCAATGAAATTACAAACAATTTGGATTTGAGTAAAGGTTAATGTATTCTATAACTAAAAACAATAAGTGCGAGATGGAACAACTTCCTAGTTAAATATGTAGTCCTTTACTACTCCAGTGCTTGATTTTATTTTCAAAGTATTGTAATTTTCAGTGTGGATTGAGGATTTTGGAGGGGAAAGCATAGAGTTCTTAATACATAATCTTGATAAATTTAGGTTTTCTAAAAAGTATATAAAGCTTGATTGAAATTCTGTATGATCGCTTAGCATGTTATGCTTTCAAGTTTAGAAAATATGGAATACAAGTAAAGTTCCAAATGTATTCCAAGAGTGTACAGCCGTACAGGTCAGAGAACCCCTCCATTGGCTAGCACACAATGATCCTAATTATGAATCAGTGACATGCATGCTATTTTCCCTTAGGACTTGCAGAATAATGGATTGGAGTAGATCAAACTAAGTAAATCAACTTGGATTCAATTTCCTTAGGTTTCAGTTCGTCTCTTACATTTGTAAATTCATTGAATGCCTAGTTTCACAAGTTTAGTGGATTGCCTATGGAAGTATGGAGTTAACCAAAAGTTACAACTTTCTTAGTTTGAATGGGTCTATGGCCTAAGCGACCTTTTTCTTACATTCCTTACACATTCGCAGATTCCTCACTTGAGACCTGCTGAATACAAGAGGTCAAGATTGCCTAGGTGCCGTAGGACTGTGAACCGTGCCTATGGTGGAGTGCTTTCTGGCAGTGCTGTTCGTGAAAGGTTACTTTTCTCAATTAACTCCCTGCCTTGTCCCTATTCTTTTACAAGTGTACTGCATTTTTTCTTGATTTGACACCGCCTACTGCTGTAATTCATGTTGAGCTAAAGCCCGAGCACCACATACTTGAGCTTTACGTGAAACTCAATTTTTTAGTCTGGCTCGATCAGAGCTCATATTCCACATGCAAGTGCGGGGTTACATCCATGGGAGCATGGTAACTAAACCCCAATTATGAGCCATAGTTAGATATTTTGAGCCACTCTGGATCAGCCCGTTTATGAATGTGTATCAAACTCAGCTTGGATTCAACGTGTTTTCTCAATTATGAAGTTTCTACATATTGCTTTGCCAAACTTACCTTTGTGGTTGATCCCAGTTTTATGAAGCTCCCTCCCTATGTTTTCTGCAGGATCATCAGAGCCTTTTTGGTTGAAGAACAAAAGATTGTGAAAAAGGTTTTGAAGATTCAGAAAGCCAAGGAAAAGCAAGCTTCTAAAGCATAAGTTGTGGGTTAGTTTGTGCAAGATATGATAAGCTTCTAGATTGATTTTGGATTATATCTTAGCATTAATTAATGAGAGGATTAATGAACTGTACGTTCTCAAGTTTTTGTTTCTGGAGATATTCAAATTTGTATTTTCTTTATCTTTTGTTGAATGTTTATCGCAAACTTTTATGCTAAGCTTTTTTGTTATGTTTTCAGTGTTACTTCATCATTGTTTATTCACAATTTCACATTACAATTTACAAATGCCTCAGTCTCAAAATGATTCTTTTACAAAGTTAGCATCAACCAATTTCTAAATGATTTTTGTGTGTTGCATTTCTCAGCAGTCGGTAATGTCAAGGAGTTAAAAATATGATTTACATATTACATTTTATAATGTCTACAATTTCTGATATTTCTTTTTGACATTTCATAAGCCCGCAATTTGGGGGACAGATGCGAATTTTCATCTTTCATTTTCTCCATTTGATTTTCCAAATTGACCTTAAGAGGCTTAAGTGAGGAATAATTTCACATTTTCACTGTATCAAAATTGGTGGAATATACTTATTTTGTCAAATAAAAATGGGAAAACTGTCAAATAGGTCCTCGAACTTTTATAAAAAAATCAATTAAGTCCTTATTTAGGAAGCTCTGTCCGGCCGTCACGATTTGGGGTGGTTCCCGGTGCAATTTTTTGATGAACTTTTTTGAGCATCTTATTCATCAACTCTAGTTTACTCATATCAAATTTGAGTTAAAACTTCAATCGGAACACATTCAAACTAATTTTTGAACATAACTGCTCATTTAACAGCACAATTATCTTCAAGAATTAATTTGAATGCGTTCCCGATTGAAGTTTTAGCTTAAATTTGGTATGAGTAAACTAGACTTGATAAATAAGATGCTCAAAAAATTTCATTAAAAAATTTCACCGGGAGCCCTACCAAATCGTGAAGACCGGACAGAGCTTCCTAAATAAGGACTTAATTGATTTTTTTAAGAAAGTTCAAAGACCTATTTGACAGTTTTCCCAATAAAAATTAACTCTAGATAACGTCTAGCATTTTCTATCTTCTCTACAATTTCTATCTTCTTCATGTTGAATTAAGTTCAACATAATGCTTTTTC